GGCAAGTTCTCTTATCTCTTGATGACAGTTGTTCTAACAGGCCTGAGGTGATATCTCATTGTAGTTTGATTTTCATTTCCCTACCTATCAGCATCTTTTCATGGACCTGTTGACCTTTCATATATCTTCTTTGGAAGAATGTCTCTTCAGGTCCTTTACCCATTTTTTAACTTGGGTTATTATTATTATTATTATTGTTGTTGTGACTTTGGTGATTTGAATTATGTAAGTTCTTCATATATTTTGGAAATTGACTCCATATCAGAACATGATTTGTAAGTATTTTCTCCCATTCCATAAGTCACCTTTTCATTCTGTTGATGGTTTTCTTTGCTGTGCAGAAGCTTTCTAGTTTAGTATAATTCATTTTGTTTAGTTTTTGTTGTTATTGGTTGTGTCATACCCAGAAAATCACTGCCAAAACCCATGTCAAAGAGCTTTTTTCCAGGTCAGTTTTTAAAAACTGTATTATATGGAGAACTGCCAGAGAGAAGTAAATTTTCTGGACCTTGTGTGTTAGGTTTAATTATTTTCATTATAATTTTATTTGAAGTTTATAAACATAAAACCATCAACTCTTATTCTTTGCTTTTATACAAACTGTAAAGACAACACATACAAATATACAACTGTAAAGACAATACACAAATTAAGTATTAACAAAACATTAAAAGCTATGAAATGTGAGTTGATAATATAAATTTAATATGAGAAATGATATTGTCTGCTGAAACTAAGTGCTTACAGTTTGGATGTAATTCTCTGTTTCAACATGTATTGGTTTGAGTTTGACAGGCCTACATTACTGGGTGCCGTATGATGACTTAATTTTTCTGTCATTTTTCTCCATTTGAACTTACATGAACTGCTTGTTCCTATGTCCCTGGGTATATCATGTAAGTATTAAGTCAAGCTATGTGCCTATATTCCTTTCATTTTAGTCAGAGATCATAAAGTACCATTGAACACCAATGAAAGTAAAAATGTAGGTGGTGAAATTGCACACCAATATCCACCTGATGCGAAGAGAAAGACGCTGATGCTGGGAAGGATTGAGGTCAGGAGGAGAAGAGGGCGACAGAGGATGAAATAGTTAGATGGCATTGCTGATTCAATGGACACTAGTTTGAGCAAACTCTGGGAGGTAGTGAAGGACAGGGAAGCCTGGCGTGCTGCAGTCCATGGGGTCACAGAGTGGGGCACGACGTAGCAACTAGCTTTAAGGGCCTTATCCAGATGATCCAGAGTTTGGTCATATTCCTTTATTTTAGATCATCATTCCAAAATGCATAACTTAGAAATCTCCACGACTTCCTTTGGTAGTCCAGTGGTTAAGAAACTGCCTGCCGATGCAGGGGACCTCGGGAGTTAGATCCCTGGTCTAGGAAGATTTCAGATGCCGTGGGGCAGCTAAGCCCCACAATTACTGAGCTCACACACTCTAGAGCACACGTGACTCAACTAGAGCGTGTCCCCACTTGTCGCAACTAGAGAAAACCCAGGCGCAGCAATGAAGACCCAGACAGCCTTAAATGAAAATAAATAAAAAAATCTACAACTATAGTCCTTCGGGATTATCAACCAATGCTGCCAGTGGGCCCAACAGTGCCGCCTCTCAAAAGAGGAAAAGGCTTCAAGTGTCACCAGGGCCTGCTGGAGGCCCTGGGGGTCTGTTAGGGCACGTGGTGAATATCTCACTCCTCGGGTCCTGCAGTGCCTGCGTGTGAAAACAGAGGCGCAGGAGCGAAGCCACTTTGGGAAGATGACGATGAGGAGGGAAGGCTCCAGGTGTGCTTGTTAAACCAGCAGGATGTGTGTGCAGCTGCTGGCTTCCTGCACAGCTCACCTAAGAAGGGCTGAAGGTCTCGTTTATTGCCTTGCGCATTAAATGGTTGAATGCGCGCGTCATGGAGAGAAACATGAACCTGGGGCATCATAAAGTACTGCTGGTAGTGCCCGGGTATATTTTTGTGATTTCAGATATTTACACATAGTTCTATCTTAAAGTGAGGCACACCATCAGTAGAGCAAGGAGAATTTTTCATTCCCTGAAATGTTGGACTTATTGTGTCTGTTCTTGTCTTGTATAAAATCTTGCTTTACTGTAGTAGAACATTTAACATGAGATCCTGATGGCTCACGTGGTAAAGGATCTGCCTGCGATGCAGGAGACTTGGGTTTGATCTGGATCGGGAAGATCCCCTAGAGAAGGAAATGGCAACACATTCCAGTATGCTTGCCTGGAAAATCCCATGGCCAGAGGAGCCTGGTGGGCTACAGTCCATGGGGTCACAAAGAGTCAGACTTGACTCAGCGACTAACACTACATTCTTAACAGATTTCTTTTTTTAATTTTATTGATTTACAGTGTTGATTTACAATGTTGCATCAGTTTCCTCTATACAGAAAAGTTACTCAGCCATGCACATATATACATTCTTTCCCATTCTTCTCCATCATGGTTTGTCATAGGATACTGAATATAGTTACCTGTGCTATATGGTAGGACCTTGTTGTTTATCTGTTCTGTGTATAATAGTTTGCCTTTGCTAATCCCAAACTCCCATATCTTCTCTCCCCTAACCCCACTCCCCCTTGGCAACCACAGGTCTGTTCTCTATATCTGTGAGTCTGTTATTTTTTCAAGATATGTTGATTTGTACTGTATTTTAGATTCCGCAGAGAAGTGATATCATATGGTATTTGTCTTTCTCTTTTTGACTTAGTTCACTTAGTATGATAATTTTTAGGTGCCAGTGGGCAGAAGACCTAAATAGACCTTTATCCCCCCAAAAAAAGAATAGATACAGATGACCAATAGATGCATGAAAAGATGCTCATTATTAAGAGAAATGCAAATCATAACTACAATGAGGTATCACCTCACATCAGACAGAATGGCCATCATTAAAATGTCTACAAATAGCAAATGCTGGAGAGGATGTAAAGAAAAGGGAACCCTCTTCTACTGTTGATGGAAATGTAGATTGGTGCACTCATTACGGATAACAGTATGGAAGTTTCTCAAAAAAACTAAAACTCGAGCTGCCGTACGCTTCAGCAGTCCCACTCCTGGGCATATACTCAGATGAAACTATCATTTGAAAAGATATATGCACCCCTATGTTTACTGCGGCACTGTTTACATTAGTCAAGACATGGAAACAACCTAAGTGTACATGGACAGATCAATGGATAAAGAAAAAGTGGCTTATATGCACATTGGAATATTACTCAGCCATTAAAAAGAGTTCAATAATGCCACTTAGATTTTAAGTGCACAATACAGTATTGTTAACTGTAAGCGTGATGTTGCATAGCAGATCTCTAGAACTTATTCATCTTGCATCACTGAAACTTTATACTTCTTGAATAACAACTCCTCATTTCCTCTCTTGCTGAAACAAGGGAGGAAATGGGGAGTAACTACCATTTGTACTATTGAGTAGCAGTAACTATCGTTTGTACTATTGAATAGCAATAACTATCATTCAACTTTCTGCTTCTATGAGTGAGAGTTTTAGATGCCTTGTAGATGCAGAGCCATAAAGGATACTGTCCTCCTGTGACTGGCTTATCTCACTTAGTATCATGTCCTTAAGGCTCATCCATGTTGTTGTATATGGCATATTTCCTTCTTTCTTTAAGGCAGAAAAATATTCCGTGTGCCCTTTATATGGATACTAAATGCACTGTCCTGTCTTTCAGTCCCATCCAATCCAATTGAACTCTCTTTCCTCTCGTGCTAATTCTCAAATCCCCTCATGGTCCCCGTCCACGGGGAACATAAAGAGAAGGAAAGGGGGTTTCAGAACCCACGAAGGGGCTGAGGCCTGAACGGGAACTTCCTGGGGTCTGAATCCCACAGTTGTGTGGTGCCTGTCTGTTGCCTCCTAGCTGTCCCTGGAGGGTCATTGCTGCACCTGATTATCAATTTTCCATGGGCTATATTATATATAACTTGGCTCTCAGAGGTTTTTCCGTCACTTCCCCCTCTCTTTGGTAAGACCTATAATGTGGGAAATGGGCTTCATTTCCCTTGTCCATTCATCTTTTAACTTTGCCCATTGGACTTGGCCCTGCCAGCCCACCCAGCCACCCCAGTGGGCCCCACCTCCTCTGTGCTCTCTCTCCAGCCTCACAGCAGGCCTCCTGGCTGGTTTCTCTGAAAGCCTGAGCACGGAGGGCTTGGGCAGAAGGCAACATATGTTTTTTTGAGATTCCTAAGGCCTATGGTTTGTAAGCCCATTGAAATTCTATCCAAAATACTAACTGAATTTTTCTAATCTGCAACTTCAGTACTCATAGATCCCACATTTTCTATGTGGTAAGTTAAATGGTAATTGAGGTTTGCAAATTTTTATGTAATTTATTCTGGTTTCCTTCCAGTGGCCTGTGAGCTCAAACTTAAATACAGCTTCGATGTAGTTGCTTCTTCCTGTTTAGAGAGCTGGCATAATATTTTGTCTTCTGGGCTCAAATAACCATGCAATTACTCTGTAATCATATAGTAATTAGCATGTACTATGTGCATTTATTACATAATTATATTCCTGGAGGATCGCATGGCAATTATACTTACATTCAGCATATCATTTTATATACTATATAATAAACAAGTATGTAATTTGCTGCTTTTTTCTTTTATCCTAATTTCAGTTTACCAGCCCGGAGCTGGAAACTTGTTCTCCTGTTGCCTTGTTTAGACCCAGGCAGGCAGGTGTCTGAGCTCCTTTGGCCTCACTCAATACCTCCTAATTATACCTCTGAGACAATGCTAGGAGCTGGAGTGCCGCCATGGGCTCCTGGCCTCTGTGCCCCTGATGCTTCCTCATTGTCACAAACTCATTAAGTTATTAGCTTCAAAACACAGAGCTGATGAGAGCTGCCAGGCCTGCCAGGTGGTGAGAGGCCAGATTGCAGTGAAAGGAGACGACCTGTGCGAGCCGCCCCGACACCTAGCCCTGTGGTCACGGCCTGCCTCTCTCTCCTTTCTGCAGTGGAGCACATCTCGAAAGGGAACAACTGCCTGGACGCCGCCAAGGCCTGCAACCTGGACGACACCTGCAAGAAGTACAGGTCAGCCTACATCACCCCCTGCACCACCAGCATGTCCAACGACGTCTGCAACCGGCGCAAGTGCCACAAGGCCCTCCGGCAGTTCTTCGACAAGGTCCCTGCCAAGCACAGCTATGGGATGCTCTTCTGTTCCTGCCGGGACATCGCCTGCACAGAGCGGAGGCGGCAGACCATCGTGCCCGTGTGCTCCTACGAGGAGAGGGAGAAACCCAACTGCCTGAACTTGCAGGACTCCTGCAAGACCAATTACATCTGCAGGTAAGTGCGCCAGCAGCTGCATGATGAATGAGGTGGCAGAGAGAACCTTTGTGTGGCTTCAGTGGCCCACTTTCTGTTTTCTGAATTTCTGCATGGGGTGGGAAAGGGGAGTGGTTGGGATGGATGGGGCCAAAGCTGACCTCTGCCTCCAGTCCAAGGTTCTTCAGAAACTGATCAGGCATCTGGCTCTTGCACTCAGGAAAATTTCCATCTTTAATCGGAGAATAAGGGAATGAGGGAAATAGGACTATGCTCAGTAAGTTCAGAGAGTCACCTGAGGTCAGGTGAGCTTGAAGGCTTGTGCCCCCACTGCTAGAACTGAGAGCTGCCAGGGATCAAAAAGGGTTAAGTAAGTGGGATGAGGGCTGGTGGAAATATAGGGGCTCTTTGCATCAAGATCACAAAGCTGGAAGAAAGCAGCAAGAGGGTGGAGCTGTGTCCAGCCCTGAAGAGAACTTCCAGAAGGCCTAGGTCTGTTCTGGGCCATTTAATCATCAACCTGTCTGAGAACCGATGCTTTCCACGCTTCCGGATCTCAGCCCCGATCAGGGACCTGGCAGAGTCTGGGCTGTGTTGTTGAAAACAGGCACTTGCTTTTCCTTTTCGGCCATGTATTCATTTATTTTAATGTTTCAGGGACTCCAGGAATATATTCTATGTGTATTTTTTTTTAAAGCAAAAAAGCTGTAGAGAGTTAAGTAGAAAGAAAGGAAAGGTTTCTTTTCTTTCTGTTCTCACTTGCTCCCAGCCGTCACTGTCGACAATTTGATGTGTGTCCTTCCAGAACTTCTGGTTGAATTCATTGCTGATGGAAGCGAGTAGATTTTGATTAGCAGAGACTCGAGTCTTTGCAGCCTGAGGCAATGCTGGTGCTGCATTCAGAGCACAGGGTGGATGTCAGGTTAGAGATGCAGACGGGCATCATCGGACAGCACCTGTACTCTGCCCCTGGGGCAGAGTCAGGAGTCTTCAAATACCGTCACTGACAAAATCCCACGTGCTTGATAAATTTCACGGGCAGGCAGGTGGGTGAAGGTGTGACTATGTGCTCGTATTTTTCTAAGTTTCCCCTTTCTCAGGAGCAGAAGACAGAGAAGGGTCTGTCTGATAGTTGGGAGGATTCTGGTGAGTGAACGTTCTGGGCATTTTAAGTTTTCTTCTGATAGAATGGAGTCCCATTCTTTCCTTAGACTAGCTCTGATAGTGACCAAAGGAAAATAAAAGTGCTTGTTATCCATAGAACCTCCTCATGCTGAAGACTTTCTGGAAGTAGTGTCTCCATTTTTTTTCCAAGATGGAAACTCTGTGAGGAAGAACTCAGATGACTGAGCTTGTTGTGGGAGAAGTCAGGTGTTCAGGCAGTGTGACTCTTCCTCACCAGTCACCCCTGTTTCATTGAGACCCTCCTAGCTGAGGGCTGTGGTCAGGGATGGCTGTGCTCCAAGGGTCCTGAGGAAGAGGCAGGACCTCCTTGCAGCCATAACCTAGGGAAACCAATCATCCAGGGATTCTGAGAACTCTCTAATGCGAAGTCACATCAGTCCTGTCCGACTCTTTGTGACCCCCATGGACTGTAGCCCGCCAGGCCCCTCTGTCCATGGAGATTCTCCAGACAAGAATACTGGAGTGGGTTGCCAGGCCCTCCTTCAGGGGATCTTCCCCACCCGGGGATCGAACCCACGTCTCTTATGTCCCCTGCATTGGCAGGCGAGTTCTTTACCACTGAGTGCGATGAGGGTCCAGACCAAGGGAGAAGCCACGGGAGCTTCGCCTGGAATTAGAATGCCAGGGAGCTGCAAATCTAAAGATTATCACCTGAAGACCCTGCACCCGAAACCCACGTTCCTGGGCCCTTTGAGCAGAAGGAACCCTTCTGCTAAGAGCAGGACTTTTCAGGGTTTTCCTTGGCTGGAAGCCAGCTACAGCCGTCCCTGTCAGCAGGAGATGTTACCTTCTCACTGATCAAGCCAGGAGGCCTGGAGATAGGAGACTGCTGTAAGGGGAGGGGATGGAGCAGTGAGTCAGCCCTCTGTCCCCTGGGCCATGGCTGGGGAGGGGTGAGAGAGCATGGTGATGGAGCCTTCCCTCCTCTTCTATCGAGCTGTGCACAGAGGTCCAGAGGGGGTTCCTGACACCCCCTGTGCAGCCTGAAAGCCTATTCTGAGGGTTCGTTTGCATCACTTGGCCTGCTCTATAAAAAGAGAGACTCTTTGGCGGGTTGGTGAGAACTAGTCAAATCAGATTGCTTCCCTGCTAAGCTGCGGTGAGAAACAGCAAGAAGTTTGGGAACTTTGGGAGTGTTCCGAGGAGGAGTCAGGAGGAGTCTGCAGGTAGGGGGATGGTTTGGGTGCTGTGTAGGGACCAGGTTGGCTCCAGGGACCTTGGGCATTATGGCAGCCCCGGTGGCATAGAGTGACTTCAGCTGATGGAGGAACAAGGAACAGGGACAACTGGACAGCCCCCACCTTAGAACTGACTGTGCCTGGTCACTCCCAAGGTCAGGCTGCGGTGACAGCAGCCACCAGGCAGCAGGCCGAAGTTGGACTGGACTGGAAGCGACAACCAGAAGCCGCTTTTGTGCATCTGCCGCGTTTCTGGCTCTGGGCTGTTTGGGAATCTAGATCCTAGACTGTCGGGGGCCCTACCGAGTGATACTGGCCTCAGTGTGATTGATGGGTTTTATACCCCGTCTTGAGTCCTCTCTAGGAGGTGAATCAGTGACTTCCCCTGGTGTTACCTGTCGTTATTTAGATCGGATTTTCTTTCCCGAGCCGAGCCTGGACTTATTACTCATGATTACCCCCTCCCTGTCGCATGTGGTAAATGTAATTTAAGCTGCTAGGTAGGCTGGCAGTGTTTTCTTTCATCAGGTTTTATTAATCTTGTCTTTAATTTTATGCCTTTTATTGCATCCCTGCTCGATCCATCTCAGTGAAGCCCTTGTAGTTACTACTACCCACAGCAGCAGCTGGGGCTTTGGCGGAGGGGGATTCATGTTAAAGTAGCTACAGTGTTAAAGTAGCTCTGACCTAGATCCATCAGGGGAAGGGAGGTACCCCCAGTGGGATGGCGAAAGGCCCAATGTGAGTATCCCCAAAGGGAAGGGATGACAAGAGGGGAAATCGCTTCCTAAAAAGCATATTCTTTGAAAGCTCGCCTTTCCAATGCTCCGTTGCCTTCTCAGCATCAGCCATTATCAAAGAGCTGCTGAAGCTCATTAAAACGTCCCTGCACTTAATGTTTTCCAACTCGAAGCACACAGGTTTCCTTCCCCAGGGTCCAGCAGTGCCTCTGCACAAAACCTGCCTCTCCGGCCTTATGTCTTCAAACAGAGGAGACGCAACTTCAGCGTTTCCTTTTGACTTTATTTTCCTTTTTTGCCTTCCCCTTTTAGAGAAGCCGACAGGTTTCTTTCCTCTTGGGGTGGTAAGGGAGAGGCGAGCACTTGACTGTTTAGTCCTCTAAGCTTGTCTGCAGAAAAACAAACTCAGAGATAGTAGCAGGAAGGGGGTGATGAAATGTAACAGCCTCCAGGTCTTCCCCTGAAGCACAGTGTCTCCCTCGCCAGTTTTCTCTGGTTGCCTTCCTTAGTGCCTGGAAGGATGTCAGGACTGGGTTTGATCCTAAAGGGAGCCGATTCCTTTATCCTTGATGCACCTGGTTACATGTACAAAATTTAAATTTGAAACTCTCCTCCTTCCCCCCAAGCTCTGGCATACTAAGTAAGCTCAGCACTTGGACCCTGGCTCAGTCCAGTCGCTCAGTCATGTCCGACTCTTCGTGACCCCATGGACTACAGCACGCCAGGCCTCCCTGTCCATCACTAACTCCCGGAATTTACTCAAACTCATGTCCATTGAGTCGGTGATGCCACCCAGCCATCTCATCCTCTGTCGTCCCCTGCTGCTCCCGCCTCCAGTCTCTCCCAGCATCAGGGTCTTTTCAGATGAGTCAGCTCTTCGTATCAGGTGGCCAAAGTATTGGAGCTTCTGCTTCAGCCTCAGTCCTTCCAATGAATATTCAGGATTGATTTCCTTTAAGATGGGCTGGTTGAATCTCCTTGCAGTCTAAGGGACTCTAAAGAGTCTTCTCCAACACCACAGTTCAAAAGCATCAATTCTTTGGCACTCAGCTTTCTTTATAGTCCAACTCTCACATCCATACATGACTATTGGAAAAGCCAAAGCTTAGACTAGACAGACCTTTGTTAATAAAGTAATGTCTTTGCTATTTAATATGCTGTCTAGGTAGGTCATAACTTTTCTTCCAAGGAGCAAGCGTCTTTTAATTTCATGGCTGTAGTCACCATCTGCAGTGATTTGGGAGCCCAGAAAAATAAAGTCAGCCATTGTTTCCACTGTTTCCCCATCTATTTGCCATGAAGTGATGGGACCAGATGCCATGATCTTAGTTTTCTGAATGTTGAGCTTTAAGCCAACTTTTCCACCCTTCTCTTTCACTTTCATCAAGATGCTCTTTAGTTCTTCTTCACTTCCTGCCATAAGGGTGGGTCATTTGCATATCTGAGGTTATTGGGTGCTACAAACAAATATGTTCATAGCTCTTTAATTTTTCTAATTAATCACTCAGGCACCTTCGCTGTTCTTCATTACCAAAAGGACTAGCATCTTTCTCTTGAGCAAGCCCCCTCCTGTTTTCATCTACAAATTACAGACTTAACGTGTCAGAACTTGTTCTGCTTCCACCACCAGGCAAAGAGGGAGCTGGAGGCTACACCAGCCCTCCTGACCTGTGACTCTAGCAGCCGCCACATGGTGTCGCTGTTGTGAACAGCCTGGAGGGTGCTTGGTGGTTTGGTGGCTGTGCCCTTCTTGGTCATTCTGCACCTGCAGCTCAGGCCGGAGACGGCAGTGGCACCCCACTGCAGTACCCTTGCCTGGAAAACCCCATGGATGGAGGAGCCTGGTAGGCTGCCATCCATGGGGTCGCTAAGAGTCGGACACGACTGAGCGACTTCACTTTCCCTTTTCACTTTCATG